CAGAGAAGGGTAGGTCCCAAATGCTATCTGGTCTCAGCATTGTCAGCCTAGTTTTTAAATTCAGAGCCTAGAAAGGGGGGAACAGCTGGAACCAAAAGATGAGTTTGGAGGATTGAGTGAGGTCTACCCCAACCCCCCAGGCTTTCTTTTGGAAGTTTCAAAGAGGGAGGTGGAATCATCAAGAGCCAGGGATGTTTTTCAGCAGTTAAGGGTGGAGACCGTCGCCATCAAAGGGTTCAAAGCCAGAGCGGACCTCCGAGCGCGGCTGGAGAGGCGAGTTCCTATGGTTGAGTCTCCTGGCGCGCACAGAGAGCCAGATTTTGGAGTGCCTTTCTTTTAAGCATCGCGGAGGAAAGACAGGATAGGAAATAAAATACAGTGACATAAAATAAACCATTGAGATGGTCCCAGGGAAGAAAAGTGAGCAAGGGTAAACATTATTGAAAAGGAAAAAAAACCCAAACGTACTAAACTCAAAAGCCAGTAAATCTCTGCGGGCAGACGCACGAGATTGTTTCTAAATAACAGAAGATAACTGTGGTTGCAAATGAGGTGGAGAGGCCGGGCGAAGTTCTAATGTTAGAGAATTCTCTATAAAATAAACTATGAATCGAAATATTCTATCCACAAATACATTTTTTTTGCTTTGCCAAGTTGCTTATATTAAAATATAGTTGCGTGGGGAATTTAAATTGTCTATGAGTTTGTTACACAAAGGTAAACCTAGGGTATGTTACTCTAAAGGTAGGAAGGCAAAGCACAGGTTTTTAAATTTTCTGCCCATCACACGTTTTTATTTCAACATAGTGATTGAGTTTGGTGGTGCATGTGGTTTTATATGCATTAATCATCTCAGACCAGTGGCTGGCTACTTTACAGAATCGTGGGTGTGTGTGAGGGGTTCATTTTGCTGTTTTTCTTGAGTATAATTTCTTCAAGCGGAGGCAGAAATGTTGGAATATCTTTGATTTTTTTTAAAAAAATCTAATTTACACGTGCTATAGAAAGAAAGGCGGAGAGACACGGATAAAAGTGCAAATCTCCTTACTTGCTTAGGGAATGTTCTGTTCCTAGGTAGGTCATCCTGTGCCTTAGAAAACCTGGCTTACAGGACTTTTCAACTATAATGAGGGTGTGTGAATTGTGGAGAGGGATAGAGGTGCTGCGTTTCTCCAGCCAGGGCATCCAGAACGGGCCCGGTAGATTTATTAGGAGTGTGTTTGCTGTCTTCCTGATCCCCGGCTAAAGCTGAACCACCTCATATGTGCTTTATAATCTTTTAATATTTCTGTTATCAATTGTGTGTGTGTATTGGATAAAATAACCATAGATCTAGTAACACAAGAATAATGCCATTATACCCCCTACAGTAAATACATTTGACTATCTCCAAGTTTGTTGCAATATGAAAAGAGGCCCATAATTCAGATACTTCCAAATTACCTGGGTACTTTCTCTATAAAGGATGTCGACCCTCTTATTATTATTTCTTACTTTTAAGACAATCCAGTCTTAACTAAAAACCACAAATCCCAGTGGGATTCCCTCATGCCCATCCATTTTTCTTGAGTTCTTGAGTAGCTAACATTTATAACTTACTAGTTGGAAATGCCTAAGCAATTGATATACTTAAATACTTACCAATACTTAATCAAAATGTGTGCAAAATAACACCTATTTCCAAATTGAATGTCATACACCTCTTTATTTTGCATGGCATTTTTTGTTGTTGTTTTCTCCAAGAGTAATGAGGTTCTTTTTCTATCAGAATGCATTTCTAAATGGTAACTGTTTAGACTCTTTGACAATCCTCATCAATTCCCAGTCATTTACAACTGAACAATAGCTAAGTCCCAATTGTAGTTACTGAAAATACTTTACCTTACTTTTATTACAGCATTTTATTACATTTTTTCCTGTTGAAAAGTTTAGAATAGGCAGTGTAATTTCCAATGATCACACTTTTTGTTCTCATATATAAAATGCAAAAATTAAAATGGGCATTAATTTATTTATTTGTCCTGAGATTGAGCCCAGGGCCTTGCTAGACGCATGCATTAGCACTGACCTACTTTCTCAGCTACATTTTTAAGGCCCATTTCAAACTCTAAAATTCAATGAATTCAAGAAACAATATCCTACCTATCTCTTTTTTCTCTGCCTACTGAACTCACATTTACACAGAATGGATGCTTCAACCTAGAAAATTAACTGTTTTGTTTTCTCTCTCTTTCTCTCCTTTGCTATCAGAGGTCACATTGCGCTGTTTTTGTTTTTGTTTTTGTCAGTCCTGAAGCTTGAACTCAGGGCCTGGGTACTGTCCTGATCTTTTGTGCTCAATTTTTTTTAAAGAAGAATTATTAATTTTACTCTCAACCTTAGACTTTCCAAAAATCTCTTCCTTTTCAGGTAAAAAAGGAATGCTGAGTCCATTTTGCTTAACAATACTCTTCAATTTCTAAGATATGAACAATTTATTTTATTTACATCATTGTGCTCAGTTCTTAAGTTCAGTGCTCTACCACTTGAGTCACAGCTTTTTTGGTGGCTAATTGTAAATGAGAGTCTCAATGAACCACAATTCTCAGATCTCAGCCTCCTGAGTAGCTAGGATTATGGGCATGAGCCACTATTGCTAGAATTTACATTGAACTCCCTGTGCCCTGCCCCTCCCCCCCCCCTCCGCCACCCCAGTGCAATGTATAAGGTTTGTACTTGACCAACCAATTAATTTGGTCTTTAGTGAGCTTGTAAGAGCTGGGCTGACAGGCTGCCCCAGCCAGTAAATCTTCATCTTAGCATGAAATACAAAAAAAGAATTTGCCTGAAGAAGTTGACTTAATTCTTCTAAAGATATAAGCCATCTCAATCCCAAAGGTGTTCCTTGATTTCCTTCTAAACAAACACTTATTTGATCTAAGAAATGGGACTGTAGTCTCAACCCTGGAGAGATCAAGGCAAGAGGATCATTAATTCTAAGCTCCCTGGTATCCCTGACTCAAAAAAAAAAAAAAAAGGGTTTTAGTTTAAAAGAATTACCTTATGTAAAAATCAAACGTATTTTATGTGACTTAAATTTTTTTAAAGTATGGAAGCATTTATAAATCTATTCTATATATACTTTAAAAAAGATTGAGTCTAAAAAATGGTTTTACATTGGCCCCCTTCTCCCTCAAAAAAGGAGCTCACTCAGGGAGATTATGCAGAGTGTAGTTATCTACATAGCCAAGTTGTGGCTGATGTTTACTTGGGCAGTTCTGCCAATGAGAACAAATAACAAAGTAGATTTTCCAGTGCTTACAGTTGACCTGTATATAGCTAATGCAGGTGGGCCTAAGAGTGGAAAGGGAGTATGAGGAGCCTGCTGGTAGTCCTAGACAGCAAAAGAGTTCAGGTGGGTTTGGCTGTGTGGTTAAAGGTATGTGGGTGATATCAAATAAACACCATTTGTCAGTGTATTTATCATTGTGGACAAGGGAGGAAGGACATTTGAAATTACACCGGGCTTTTTTTTTTTTTGGAAGTAAGAATACATTACTATGTGTGGTAACAAAGCACAAAAACATCTGTTATGCTGGGCTTAACCTTAGGAGAACAGAACAGGCCATCCTGTTCCATGGTTTCAGTCTGTTGAAGAGATTGGCGAAGAATGAGGGGAATCCCTGCCAGATGCTTTCCAGGATGGCTGATGGATTCTCTCCCACATTAGGTACCAAGAGTAAACTGTGTTGGCTTTGATACCAGATGGAGGAGGGGAAGGAAATGGGAGGAATGGGGTATTCGAGGGAGAACCTCTGGCTTAGCATTTAGGGATATGGGGGGGGGGGTTCATTAAGGAAACCGCTCCATTGAGTCCACTGCAGAGAGCAGATTGGATTTCCTGCATTGCTGCTGGGCGGATATGGGGGGATTTCCCATCCGCCTTGGTAAAGCTGAATGCCTAGAACCCATTCCTGATCACTGCTCCTTTTGATATCTGTCTCCTTGGAGACTTGATCTTGCCTCATGGACACGTTGGGTGGCGCCTTATTCATTTAACTACTTATATGAGAGATGAGAAAACTATCCCAGAGGAATTTAAATGATTTCTCTTCCCCAAGGTCAACAGCTGGCTAGTGACAGACCCAGGAACAAATGTCTCCTTTTATTTTTTAAAAATTCATTTTATTTTATTTTTAAAAGATATTTTTATTATAAATTTCTTCTTTGTGTCTTCCCTCTACCCCAGAGTAGAAATGTTAAAATGTTTGTTGGGCAACATTATTTCATGGTTAAAATTTCCTTTTAAATGATAACATTATTATTATTATTACTTTGCAGTCCTGGGGAATCAAACCTAAAGGTTTTTAATATGATAGGCAAGTGCTCTGCTGTTAAACTAAATGCTCACACAAAACATTTATTTTCAGGGATTTTTTTTGGTGTTTTTAAAATTTTTTATTTTATTGTACAGAGGGGTTACAGTTACATAAGGTAATGAGTACATTTTTTGTTGACCATTGTTACCCCCTCCCTCATTTTTTTCCCACTTTGTCCCCCCCACTCCTCCCACCCATCCAAGTTGTAAAGTTCATTTCCAATATTGTATCTTGTCACACAAATCATTTGAAAGTCCTTTTATTTGTGTATGTATGTGCATGTATGTGCTGGTGTTGGAGATAAACTCAGGACCTTGTACTCTTGCTTGGCTTTCACTTGAGCCACATCTCTAGCTTTTTGGTGGTTAATTGGAGACCAGAGTCTCACAGACTTTCCTGCCCTTACTGGTTTGAAACCTCATATCTCAGCCTTCTGACTATGATTGTAGGCATGAGCTGCCAGCACAGAGCTGAATGAGTAGTGATTTGGCAGACATCTGGAACACTGAGCATTCAGAGGGACATAAGGCCAGTGTAATAAGCCATGATTGTTTAAGCCACACCATTCAAAAGGGAGGGAGGGAGAGAAAAGGAGAGATTGATTTCAGATGATCAGAGGGAAAATTCATACTATGAAATGGCTGTGTGGGCTGGGAATGTGGCTCAGTGGTAGAGCGCTTGCCTTGCATGCATGAGGCCCTGGGTTCAATTCCCCAGCACCACATAAGCAAAAAGAAAAAAAGCCAGAAGTGCACTGTGGCTCAAGAGGTAGAGTGCTAGCCGTGAGCTGAGGAGCTGAGGGACAGCAACCAGGCCCAGAGTTCAGGCCCTATGATGGACAAAAAAAAAAAAAAAGCTAAGGGAGAATGCCCTGTCCCTAAGTTCAAGACCCAGTTGTAGTGCATGCACGTGCTCGTGCTCATGCGCACAAACACCATAAAGATATAGGAATTCAGCTCTGAGAAAGCCAGCTGCTGTCATCCCTTCTCCTGTTGAGCAGGGTGCTTAATTTGAGCCTTAGCCAACAAAGCCTGGCAGGCTTCTTTCTCTGCAAGTTTTGTCTTACCAGCTATTGGTGAGGGGCTAAGCACCTCTGCTTTATCTTGCAATGTCTCAAGCAATTTTCCCAGACAATAGGGCTCTCAGATTTTATGATTTGATTTAGTTGTCTTCTTCCTGACTCAAATCCATGTCCTTGGGTGCTAAGCACACCTGAAGAGCAATGAAGAATCAACTGTTTGAGTTGGTGCCTTTGTTAGGGACCAAGTTGGTCATGCCAATAGGGTCCTGGCAGGGCTGCCTTACTGGACATGAAACATTCTTAATGAGTTAGGCACACACATGCATGCACACATACACACCAGAAGCCACATGTTTGGAAACAAAAAAGCTGCTCTCAGGAGTTGGACAGCAATATATACTAGAGTATTAGGGACAGAGTATTAGGGAGAAAGGCTGCAGACATGCAATTCTACAGGAGAAGAAACTTCTGATATTCTATGGAAGAGTAAGATTGGCAACAACCATCTATTTCAAAACAGCCAGCAGAGGCTTTGAAAATTCCAAGGTGATAGAATGACTAAGGTGATAGATACATCAGTTATCCTGATTGGATCATTATCTATTGTCTAAATATATGCAAGTATTAAATGTCAATTAAAACTAACAAACCCTAAAGAAGAAACCAGAAAGGAATTGCTAATAAGTAAACAAAAGTACAGTTAAAAATTGCATTAAAGTGTAATTTAAGATGCACTAAAAATAATTCTGTTATCTCAAAGTCCAATGGGCTCAAGTTGGTCCCTCCTTACCTTTACCTCCATCCTAGCCCTGGACACACCCACATCAGCCCCCAAAATGTGTTTTTCAAAGTGTGGTCCATGGCCAACACCATTACATCCCAATAGCATAATGCATTAAAACCTCTTCTTTTGCATGCTGGGCCTGTACTGGGTCTTAAACTCGGGACCAGTGTGTGCTTGTTTTTTAATTTTTGTTTTGTTTTTGTGGGTTATGGGGCTTGAACTCAGGGCATGGACATTGTCCCTAAGTTCTTTTGGCTCAAGGCTAGCACTTTACTACTTTGAGCCACAGCTCCACTTCCATCTTTCTGGTGGTTAACTGGAGATAAGAGTCTCATGTACTTTTCTGCCCAGGCTGGCTTCTAACCTCAATCCTTAGCTCTCAGCCTCCTAGGTAGCTCTGATGACAATTGTGAGCCACCAACTCTTTTTTTTTTTGGCTTTTTTTGTTCAAGCCTGGCATTCTACCCCTTGAGCCACTGCTCTATTTCTGGCTTTTTGCTAGTTATTTGGAGATAAGAATTTTGTGGACTTTTCTGCCCAGGCTGGCTTTAAAGTGGGATCCTGAGATCCCAGCCTCCTAACTGGCTAGGATTACAGGCATAAATCATTAGCATCTTATTCAAAATCTGTTGTGTTAAGAAAAAAATCCCAGGTGTTTCTGTTTGTACACTGATTTTAGTAGCCTACTCAGTCCAGGTTCTCTTCACTGACAACTCTAAAAGCCTTGGACCTGTGTGACCAGCGGACTAGAGACAGGCCTGCCACAAGCCTTTCTGGCTCCCACATTGGCCTTGTGCCCCATCTTCTGCTGGGACACCTGTGTCCTACTTCCAGACTCCTTTTTACAAAACCTTAGGCTTCACTTGGACCTATAATCAAAGTAAACACAAGTTGTGGTCTGGAGGAAAACCCATGGTTAACCAAATCATGAGTGGTAAGATCAAGGTCTAGAAAACAGGGATTTGGTAGAAACTAGTCAACATGGCATTACATAGCTAGGCTTTAAGGCTTTAACCAGAAATAAAAGCTATGAGGCATTGGCTTCCAAAACACAATTGCTGGTGGTGAAAACCGGAGGTGGTAAGTGTCCTTCAGAATTCCTGGCTGTCAGAGCGGCAGTAGCTCATATATTTCCTACCCTTTCCTTGGCTTGGAGTTCAGTTTTTTTTTTCCTTCTTCACTTCACTCCTCCTTGCCTCATTGTCGGCAAATGCTTCTCTCTTTTCACACATTATCACAGAGCTCATAGTCACTTTTCTTAGCCTGGTCTTCTGTCCTTCCATTTAGTGGGTGGGGTGTCAATGCGATTTCCTTTCAAGCCACAGATCCACCCATGTGGTGGACAGAAGCAAAGCTACAACAATTACCAGATTCTTTTGTTGAAAGAGGCCTCAAGTGAACCTAGCACAACTGAAAAGCATTGGTTTTTATTATATACAAATCCAAACCACTTTAACTCAAGGCTACCTCCAGCCAAATCTTGATGAGCACTTTGCCTGCCAAGGGATTTCTCTGAAACCCGTTGCCTCTCTCTAAGGCCATGGTTACCACTATGGGCTCTCTGTTAGAAGTATCTGGGAGTGTTTTTAAAGCCTTGTACTCCAGCTGCTTCCCTAGTGTTTAATCACAATATCCTGAGTGGGACTCAAGCATCAGTAACTTAAAAGCTGCCAGCAATTCTAATCGACGGTTGAGGTCCAAGTCTCTCAAATGCTGTCTTGTATCAGAATCACCTGGAGGGCAACTAAATGCTAGATTGTAGACCTTACTCTCTAGTTTTCTGCTTCAGTAGGCCTGATGGTGGTGTCAACAGTTTGTTGTTCTAACAAGTACCAGGTGATGTTGATATGCCAGATCTAGAAATGACCCTTTGAGAACTATGACTCTTGGGCTAGTTGGAGTCATGTGGCCATGTTGGAGGCACCTGCCCAGCTGCCGGTCTGTAAAAGGCACTAAATTGGCCTGGTGCTGGTGGCTAATTTTACCCCTGTAGCCCTAGCTACTCAGAAGACCAACATTTGAGGATTGCAGTTCAAAGCCAGCCCAGGCTGGAAAGTCCATAAAACTCTTTACTTCTAGTTAACCAAACAAAAGCTAGAAATGGAGCTGTAGTTAAAGTGGTAGAGCACCAGCCATGAACCAAGAAGCTCTGATCATATAAAATAATATTTATCAAAAATAATATTTATCCAGGAAATGATAACAAGAGGTTTTTTTCTTTGTCACTGTTTTGGTTTTCTTTTTGTTTTGTTGGTTTATCTGTCTTTGGGAGGGTAAGAGGGGACACAGAAATGGAGAGAAAAATGCAGTATTGGTACCACTAGACACTGTTGAAAATGAACTATACAACTTGTGAGTAGGGATGAGAGGGAAAATCTGGGAGAAAGCAAGGAAAAGGGTAACATTATCCAAAAAGAAATGTGCTCTTTACTTGACTTGTGTGACTGTATCCCCTCTGTATATCAGCTTAATATAACAACAAAAAATATTTACATGCTGGGCACTGGTAGTTCATGCCTATAATCCTAGCTACTCAGGAGGCTGAGATCTGAGGATCACGGGTCAAACCTAGCCCGGGCAGGAAAGTCCCTGAGATTCTGATCTCCAATTAACCACCAGAAACCCAGAAGTGGTGCTGTGGCTCAAGTGGTAGAGCGCTTGCCTTGAGCTGAAGAGTTGAGGGACAGCGCCCAGACCCAGAGTTCAAGGCCCATGACCAGCCAAAATATAAAAAATAAAAATATTTACAAAATAGAAAGGAAGAAAGAAGGAAGGAAGGAAGAAAAAGCTAAGGGACACCTTGTAAGACCTGAGTTCAAACCCCAGTACAGGCACACCCACAAAAAAGAAGGCCACTAAATTATCATGAGACCCGTGACAGGTAGAACAAACTGTATTTACCATAATTCCTTCCTGGAAGAGTACATGTCAGTGTGGCAGAAGAAACAGAGAAAATGGTAGGGTCATATAGCTAGTATGACTGAATTGAAAGACTTCTAGGGGGAATGGGTATGAGCTCTACCATATTAGGGTATGGAACTGAATACTGATCTAGGCAATAGAGCTAATAAGAGTCTCCCTCCTCCTGTCCTTTCTTTATGTAACACTCAGCTTTTTCTCTAACAAACACTGCCCATGCCCAGGGTCTCACTGTTGGCTTGTCCTGGGCACTAATGTGCCTCAGTTCAACACTACTTTGCCCCAGTGAGTGCTGTAAAATGTTATCTGAAACCTCCTGCTATATCTGTGTTTCCTTGGCTTAGATCAGCATGCCACACTTGGGTGACTTTTTTATTGCAAGAGCCATAGTTGTGTCTCTTTTGCCAAAGTGCATTGCTGTCAGATAGGAATAAGGAACTAAGATTCTTGTGTACTGCCAAGAATTCAGCAGCTTCTACTTCCCTTCTGCTCTCACCCTACCTGTCAGGAAATTGAATGCCTTATATCAATCACGTGAGCTCTACTTGGACCCTTTTATTTTTGTTTATAGTATTTGTTTATTTATTTATTTATGTTTGCCATTCCTGGGGCATGAACTCAGGGCCTGGGCACTCTCCTTGAATTTTGTTGTTTTGTTTTTCTATTTGAGCCATACAGCTCAAAGCCATACAGCTTTTTGGTCATTGGGGATGAAAGTCTCAAGGACTTTCCTGCCCAGGCTGACATTGAACCATGATCTTACCTCAGCCTCCCGAGTAGGTAAGAAGCCATCATTTATTATTCCATATCAAGCTTTACCTAAACAACTGTCATTATGTCTTAGGATGCTCTGGAGCCAAACCTCTGGTCTGGGTTTAGCCGGTGACTGCAACTCTCACCTGGTCACGTGGGCAGCCGCAGTCCCTATCAGTTTGGGACCTGGGCATGGGGTGTTTGGTCTCCAGGCAGTCTTCCCCTCATCATTCAGTCATCAAACTGGGCC